AATGTTACTTATGTTAACAGGTAACAAGTTTAGCATTGTAGGTATCTCAGTGGATAAAGCACTGAAACTGAAGTTAGGAGGACCTGAGTTCAAATCCAGCCTCAGACATTTATTAGCTTCCTAACCCTGGGCAAGTGGCTTAATCCCTGTCTCAGTCTACTTTTCTCTAAAATGAGGATAATAGCACCTACCTCTTGAAGTTGTTGTGAGAATCAAACAAGATAGTAATTGTAAAGTACTTAGCACAGTGTCTAGCATATAGTATTACATAAATGTTAACTATTAGCTATTTTTATCTTTAAATTAATTAATAGTTTCAAATTTCATTGGTCTTAATTTCTAATGCAATAAATATCAATAGATATAACCACTAGTGTGCTGGTAAATGTTTAATAATCGGGGGGGATGTACCCATGACACAGTTTTAATTTTAATCTGCCATACTGACATTTTCTCCATCACTTTCTTAAGTCTAGACAATCAACAAAAAAAATAAATCAAACCCTGATTTATATGTAGTTTGCAAATTTCTGAGGGGTAAATGCTTACATTAAAAATTTAACAATGGCCTTGCAGGTAGGAGCTAGTTCCAGCACATCCCTGGATATAGTCTACATAAACAAAAGCTCTCTGGAGTCCTCAATAATTTTTAAGAATGTAAAGGATTCAAAAAAAGTTTAAGAATTCCTTTCTTAGCTCAAGAGGTCTACCAAGCTCAGCCTTCCTAGAACTGAGATTACAGGCATGCTCTATAACTATCAGCCATCAATATGTAATGGAACCTCAAACAAGATATTTGTTTTCTCCATAAGTTAGCTATCTTCTTTGAATGGTTGGCATGTGTCCTTTACTAATTGTAAAAAAGAATATAAAGAAGATCTAAGTCAGATAAAATCTGTAAATACTCCCAGGCACCTCAGACATTGATGGTATAGAGGAGATATACCAAGTGCTGGTACCGCTGTTACTAGACTAAAGCAAAAAGCTGTTTCCCTAAAAACAGTACATTCAGACATTAAGAAGTTTCAATTTTGAGTAACAATTACAAGCTACAGTTACTACCAAGCTAATTTAGAGAGGTCATCTAGGGGAGGGCCAAGTTACAATAGTATCATCAAGTGATAAGTGAAAGCAACAAGTTAGCTATTGTAATAAATAGGTGATGCCAAGAGGGAAGAACAAAGCTACTACAGATCAGGAAAACAAATATTGGAGCTAGGGTGAAAATAGTGCCTGATGTAACAAAAATGGGTGCCAGTTATTTGTATTTTTTTTAATTAGGAATTGGATATGATGAGATGGGAACTCTACAGTCCCTTCCAGATTAAAATCTATGACCCTAAGATCCAAAGATGTTAAATTAGGAATCATACCAAGTCCTTAGGTAAGATCAATCAACCAACCCCCAGGATTATGCCCGTCCTTCAAGGCTCAGACTAGGTGCTACCTCCTCCTTGAAGGTCTTCCTCATTCCCCTCCCCACCCCAGTTTTTCAACTCAATCTCTCCCCTCAAATTCCCTTGTATTTCCTTATCTACAGATTTCCTATTTATTACCCCAGACCCAATCCCAGTAGATAATAGAACCCATTCAGGGCAAATACTGTTTCATTTTTGTCTTTAAATGCCCAATACCTGGCATAGTTTCTTGCATATAGTAGACAGTTCATATCTATTGAACAGAATTGGAATGAAAAAACAGACCTTTAATAAATCGTGTAGCCCATCCAAAAGCAGTTTAGTTTACCAAATCCCTTGGGCTCCAAACAATGTGGGTTAGAGAGTAAAAATAATAATAATGATAGGAAAAATGAGAAGGAAGCTAATTTTGAACACAATTATTTTCTAAATGAGATCTCGTAACCAAGTATTTAAGGAACTAAAGACAAAGATAGAAAGGGCTTTTACAACCACCCCCTTCCACCTCAAACAAGGAAAACCGATAAATTGTCGTTTACCCAGCTCTAGTCTTTTCCTTGAGCATCAAGTTCCATAACACCAGTTGCTTGTTGGATATAGCTAAGTGGATGTCCAGGAAGCATCTCAAATACATATCTCAAAGAAAATTCATTATCTTGTGTCCCTTTGACCCACGAGCCCTCCAAAATTCCCTATTTTTGTTGAGGGTACAACCATCCAGACCCATGATTTCAGAGTCATCCTCGACTCTTCTTTCTTACTCCCATATCAAAGCAGTTACCAAGCCTTGTCAATTTTACCTTCACAGCATCTTTCTCAGACATCCCCTTCTCTCCACTCATAAAGCCACTTAAGGTCTTAATCACCTCACCTGAACTACTGCAACAACCCAACTAGACTCCCGGGCTCCCAGTTCTCATGTAACACTTTATGCCTTTTACACAGGTTATTTTACCAAGATTAGAATGCAGTCCCTTCTCAGCCCTGCCTCTTAGAATCCCTAGCTTTCTTCCAAATTCAACTGATGTGTCATCCACCGAACAGAAAGTCTTTCCTGACCCCCCCCCCATCCCTTCCAGTCTTCTTACATCTTACTCACCCCATGTACTGTAGCATCCAGTAACTCTGGCCTCATTGCTGGTACTATAACTAAATGACCTCCATGGCCTGACTCTGGGCATTTTCTCTGGCCTCCCCCATACCTGGAATGCTTCCCTTGCCTCATCTCTGCCTCCTAGCTTCCTTTGAGTCTAGTTAAAATCCTACCTCATATAGGAAGCCTTTCCCCATCCCTTGGGGGGGGTACCTGGTACCTTCTCTCTGTTGATTGTTTCAAGTTTATCCTACATATAGCTTATTTGTACATAGTTGTTTACATGTGGTCTCCCCCATTAGATTGAGAGCTCCTTGAGAGCAGGGTCTGTCCTTTACCTTTCATTATGTATCCTAGTATTTAGCACAACATCTGACACAAAGCAGGCATTTAATAAATGTTAATTGACTGACTTGTGCTCTCTCTATCCTACTCAAACTATCATTTATATATTTGTCTGAATACATGTTAGATTTCTCACTTTCCCCATCCCCCTCCCCAAGTAGACTATTAGATCATGGGAGAGGCAGGAACTACTTTTCTTTTCTTTCTTTTGTTCCTCAAACCTACCACTAGTGCCTTGCACATTATGGGCACTCATAAATACTAACTGGAATGGATGGATTCCATTTCTGATGGCTTATCCATCCTTCAATCCCATTTCAAATATGACCTCATTTATGAAACCTGCCCTGATCCCTCCTTCCCAACCTCACTGGACCTCCCCATTACATTTTGTTTGTACCTTTTATGGTACTTTTTCAATTCTTCCTGCTATGTATGGAGATGCATCCTGGAATAAAGGGGAGAATGCTGGGATCAGAAAGATCTGCCTCCAAATCCCACCTCTGACAACTAGCTATGAAATCAAGAACAAACTGTTTAATCTCTCTGAGCCTCAGTTCCCTCATCTGTAATATGAGGGAGTTGGACTAGGTAACTCCAGATCTCCATCTATGATCCAATATAGGGTCATCTGTGTATTTGCTTCATCTCTTCCTGCCCCTCCCTCCACACATAAGGAAGGCAGAAGCCCCTTGAGGGCAGACAATAAGCCCTACTCCTTTTAGTATCACTCTCATAATGCCTTTGTAAGAAATGGCTCTGAATATTTGTTGTTGTGAATGCTCTGGTGCACAAATCCTTCAAATAACAGCCTGTTCTTTGTGTCAATCAAAAGTATTTTAATTTAATAAATGTTTGCTGTATTGATCACAAATTTTCTTAAATCTTGAAGAGTGGAATAGGAACCTATTGACTTCTACTAATGATCATAGTTTTAAAAAACTGGTCATTTTTAAGACAATCAGACATCTGGGCCAAGTGAATAAAGAGCCAGGAAGATAGGGACTCAAGTCCTGCCTTTGACATACATTGGCCTTGTGACCCCCAGGGGTTACAATTTCTCCATGATCTAGGCTGCTCTCTAAGACTACAAATTAGGGAGAAGGTGCCAACCTGCAACCTGTACTAACTTTCCTTTCAGAGGAGTTCTTTTTTTTACCAGGTCTAATTCCTATCCATCCATAAGATTTCTTTATCAATGCTAAACACAATTTACTTATAAATCATTCTGAACTTCTACAACTACTGACACATTTCTGTTCTCAGCTTCTTTACTGGATAATGATAGAAAGTCAGGTAACATGGTGAGGGGAGGAGAAAGGATAGATAATATTCCCATTGGAATGTTTGCTTTAATGTTTTGTTTTCCATTTTTACCCAAACTTACAGTGCTATATAATACCCTTTAAAAGCGTGAAAGATTATAGCTAACACAGAGAGATACAAAGAAAGAAACTGAAAACATGACTTTTGATAGCTTGTTAAAGTCTTTTCTGATTTCTTGGATTTTTTTTTTAATATATTCAGCCTTGGTGTACTTCTTTCTTTGTCAACTCTCAGAACCAAGCATTCACATTCGAAATGCAAGAGTACTCTTTTTAAAACACCCAGGTCAGAACATAAACTCACAGTAGTGTAGTTCTCAAAATGCGAAGAATAAGACTAAATGTCAGGTCAAAATAGGAATCTCTAATTTTGTTCTTTTTTTAAAAAAAAAAAGAAAAGAAAGAAAGAAACCATCAAATGAAATCAAGTGAAAACCCCTCCGTGAAATCTGTTAAGAAGTGGAAACTCTCTTAAGGGAAACACACATCCTTCTGTTTAGCAAGATCCAGAATTCAGCCTATATGAACAGTAATGAAAAATTTTTCTGACTAGGAGACAAAACTACCAGTCCAGCCAAACCATGTTAGATTTCTGCGTGTATCAGGGAGTGAAGGCAAGGGAGAGATGGAGAAAGGAAGGAACGGAAACTACTCCAAATCGCAATTCACTGAGGCCCCAGTGAGACTCGGATGCCCAACCTGCCCCAGGGTTGCAATAAAGTCACCAGACCTAAGCAGCCCCCCAACCGTGCCCCTACTGAGGCCAACCGCAGCCCGGTCTCCTCGCTATCTTCCCAGGTGGCAAAGGCAGGCGCTCACCTTAAAGTCCCGGCTGTGTTGCGGGGTATACTCCAGAGTCCACAGCGCCCGCACCAGGTGTGCCAGCTGTTCCGTGACCTCGCCCTTGCCCTGCTGGCTGCGGGAGAAGGGGAGTCCGTTGGCCTGGTGGCCGTCCTCTGGGGCAGAGGAGTCGGGGGTCTCCTGCCCGCCGCCGCCCCGGTACTGCTCCAGGGCCAGGTACTCGGCGAAGAGCTCCGTGTTGCTGAGACACTGCAGGGTGGCGTTCATGAAGCAGGTGTTGCCATGGTTCTTGAGCCCTGCCACGCCGGGCACCGGGTCGCCCCCGGCCAGGCACAGCAGCTCGGCCGGGGGAGGCGGCGTGGGCGCGGCGGGGGGCGGTGGCGGCGGCTGCCGCTGCTGCTGCTGCTGCTGCTGCTGCTGCGGACAGCGCTGGGGCGGGGCGGCCGGCCCGGGCCCGGGCCCCGGCGGGAAGCAGCTGCGAAAGCCCACGGGGCCGAGGGCGCTGCTGGGGGATCGTCCGCGGCCGGGCAGCGGGGGGCTCTCGGAGCTATAGTGCGACAGAGTGGACAGCGTCTTCAGGACCCGGCTCATAAAGCTGCCCACCGAGCGGGCGGAGGAGGGCGAGGCCGGGGAGCCGCCGCTGCCGCCGCCGCCCGCCCGCCCACTCCGAAACAGCCTCTTGCTAAAGGAGCGCTTCTCCTTCCCGCTTGGCGCCGGCCCCGTAGCCACAGCCGGCCCGGGGGCCGCGGGCCCCGTTACCTTGGACATGGCCCCGGCTCCCTATGCACATCCCCTCTTCCCTCCGCAGCCCGCCCGCCTCCGCCCCCCCCCGAGGCCGCCGCCGCCGCCGCTGCTCCTGCTCCAGCCGCTGCCGAGCTGCATCCCCCGCCCCCTGCGCCTCGCGGGCTCCCGGGGAGGGCGACGACACCCGAGAGAGGGACCCAGCAAGAGGCACAGGCAAGAGGCGGCGACCCACGGGCTCGCGGCCCCGGCACAGCTGGAGGGCAGTCACGTGGCCTCCAACCCCAAAGCCTGGGAGCCGGCCGGTGGCCAGGGACGCGGGAGGGCACGCTCCCTCCTCCATCCCTACCCCCCCCGCGCGCGGAAGTTGAAGTTGAAACGGCGGCCATGTCGACTGTGGGAACGGAGTCTTCTCATCACTGCCACGGGAGCCCTCGTTTGCTCTGGGCACAGCTCCGCTAGGTGAAGCCAGAGCGTGGCCATGTCTAGTGTGGGCAAGATTCTATCCCAGGGTGGAAAGTCCGCTGGATAGGTTTGTTGCTGTTTTGCTTGGATCTAGGGGAAGGGAGGGAGAATAGGACTGATCGGACTCTGCAGAGTCGACGATAGCGCCCCTACCGTGGGTACAAAAGCTTTGGAAAACTTGTAGAAATCCAACAGATGCAACCTGAGAAGAAAAGTACCTGTACCAAAGGTTCTAAAGATCACTATCACACTGGCGCTTAGGTGGTGTTATATGCAGCTTCGGCCAAGCAAACGGGAGTTAAAAGCACTGGTACTAATCGGGCTAGAGAGTGGCCCTGAGGGCGCACAGCCATTGTCTGGAGTCCTAACACCCCATCATTATCCCTTGGACCCCAAAATACTGGGAAAAAATGTTTCTCATCTAGCTAATGAGCTACCGTCACTTACACAAATGCACGCCCAATTTGCACGCACCCAATTCTACTGAATGAACAAAAACCCCAATACTATCAGCTTTGTCTCCACTAAGGAGTAAAGCATATGCGTGCGGTCCACCTTAAATTTATTTGTGTGGTCATCTGTGTCAATCTTACCTGAGGGCCTGTAACCTGGGCTTTTATTCATTTATTTCACGAGTGTTTTTTAGGTTCCTAGTATCTTTCTCGGGAGACAAAAGAAAAGTAAATTATGGTCCCAGTCTTTCAATTTACCAGCAAAGAGTTGTTCAAAGAACACTAGTCTTGAAGTCAAGAGACTGAGTACTTGTTCTGGCTCTGGAATTTTTACCAGAAGGATCCTTTGAAAGAGTGGGGGAACTTTCTCTACCTTGGAGAAGAGCAGACTTGAGAGATCGAGGAGGAAACCATGTATTTCACTTGACAGACCTTAGAATAGTAGAAGAGGACTGAGATTTGTTTTACTTGGCCAGAAAAGGCAGAACTAGAAGTAATGGTTTGCAGAAATAAATTTAGACTTGATGGAAATGAAAGAAAGATAATGTCGGTAAGGAATTTTGCAAATTTTTATTGCTATAGAAATGGCAATTGTTATCATTCCTAACAATTTAAACAATCATTTAGTGGAATGGGTTGCCTCCAGAAGAAGCTGTTTCCCCTTTGCTAAAAGTCTTTAATAAGCAAAAGCTAGAAGATCGTTTGTCAATTATGTAATAGGGGAAATTCCTGCCCAAGTTCAGTTTCGACCAGGTCGTCTCTGACATTCCTTCTCATAAGCTTCTATGAATTTGTGACATCAAGCTAGAAGGATAGCCAAGACAGGTACAGGAGCCAAGGGTGAGTCTATGGGTTAAGGACCAGCCAAGCAAAAGATGGAATAGTTCTTCATTAGAGAATTGTCAGTTAATTAATGTTTTAGCCACTGCTACTCCAAATGAAATGGAAGATCTTTCAAAGTATTGACATAAAAAAGTGTTATTGTTATGACAACTACTGCTACTACCACTACCAAGACAACAACGACGACGACTACTACTACTACTACTACTACTACTGCTAGGAATGCTTCTCTAGAGAAGATAAAAATTGAGCTGGATCTTAAAGGATGGGTAAAAATTGAAGGTGCAGAGGTGGTAGGGAAAGGCATTTCAGGCTAGGGAAATGATACAAGTAAAAGTTGACTGTGGGAAAGAGCAGTGCTGCATGTTAGGAAACAATGAGAAGAGTACCATATCCAGAATAGGGCTCATATGGATTTTTGAAATTACTCCTATAAGTAATGGGATACCATTCTTAAGTAGGGGAGTGAAATCATAATTAATGTTTTAGAAAGAAGTTGCACTCTGGACTTCCTCTACCATGTCCCAGAAACCTCTTCATCCTGGAAACCTACTCAGTGGTTTTACTTTAGGCAGTGGAAGCACCCTCCACCTCTGGGAACTCTCCCTCTGATTGGATAGCTCCTTTAAGAACCTCCATTTAAGGAAGAAGCCCAGACTAGACATTCCTGCATCCCAAACTTTCTCTACTACATGCCCATGCTAGGCACCTTTGCCTTTTCCCCATCCCACCCTCCCTTTTAGCTCCCTTTTAAGAGTTGTCTTCACTCATTGGAATGAATATAAGCTCCTTGAGGGTAGGGACTGTCTTTCTTTCCACTTGTATTTGTATTCCCAACTTTTAGTCCAAAGCCAGATACCTAGTGTTTAATAAATGCTTGTCAATTGACTAATCTGGCAACCAGGGGTAATTTGAACTGGAGAAGAAAAATACTGTACAGAGGAAGAACAGTTAAGACTCTATTCCATTAAGTCAGGGTTGCTAATTCTAAAGAAAGAAGAAGCAGAAAAGAAAAGCTCAAAGAAGACTCCATGGTTTCAATCCTAAGTAATTGGGTGAATGGCAGTGTCACTGACTAATATGAGTAGTCTTGTTTACTTCTCTCTAAGATGAAGATATTGAATTAAATGATCTCTAAGATCCCTTTTCAGCTGCAAAATTCCATGTAAAAAATTGGGGAGTTATAGCTAGACAGCGATTCATCTACAAGAAAGATTGGAGGATTTTAGTGAACTGAAAGCAATATATGTCAACAATGTAATAATATGACAGCCAAGAAAACTAATAAATCTTAAACTGCATTAATGGAGTCATACTCCTCAGGAATAGACAGCTGATAGTTGTTCTACAATCAGACCCCATCTGGAGTAGCACATTTGGTTCTGGGCACCACATTATAGATGGGACATTGATAAGCTAGATTGTCCAAAAGAAGGCTGACTAAGATCAGGAAGGGCCTGAAGGATAGGCCATATGAAGGAATGGGAGTGTTTAGCCAAGAGAAGTGAAGAGTCAGTGAGCACATGATAGGGCTCTTTAAGTATCTATAGCGCTGACACAGAAAAGGTCACAGCCATTATTCCAGACCTCTAGGTTTACAACCTAGGAGTCATCTTCTATTTTCTTCTCCCTCATTCTCTCACATCCAATCAGTTGCCAAGCTTTACTCTCCCTCTACAATATATCCCACATCAATCCCCTTCTCTCCACTCACACTTCTACCTCCCTAAGTTCAGAAGCTTTCACTTCTCACCTAGACTATTACAATAGCATTATACAATTATCACTTCAATATTATGGGGATTAAGGGTGCAGAGCCCCACAATCTGGAATATCCATGGAAAATTTGTTGGCCCTCCCTTCATACTAGAGAAGTCTGAATTATTATGGTATTAAAAGATAAAATTTGTTGGTATTATATACTATACATATGTATATATATTTATGCATTTCTGAGTTTCTAAACCTTTTCTGTGTCATTGTCTGCAGCTTCTGTAAAAACTCCCCAAAAATTCCCATTTAACTTCTTATGCAGGTCCATGATACATTGGAATTCAAGATGTGGAAGAGATAACTGTAACTGGTCTTCCAAGCTCTATTCTCTTCTCTCAGCAATCCATTCTCCACACAGTTGCCAGTTTGATATACCTAAAGTACAAATCTAATCATATCACTCCACTACTTAAAAAGTTGCAGTGGCTTGTTTCTGCCTGTAGAATAAAATTCATATTCCTCTATTTGACTCTTAAAGTCCTTTACAATGTGGCCCCAGCCTATGGCATTTTCTATGTTTATGATATATTATTCTTTCCATGCACTCTACATTCTAGCCAAACTGACTTGTCTTCTTATCCCCAGTACATGACATTTCATCTCTCACCTTTTACATAGGTTGTCCTCATGCCTGAAATATATTCCTTCCTTACTTTCAACTCAGAGAAACTCTAGCTTTCTTCAAAGCTTAACTCAAAAACCGTCTCCCAGCTGGTTCACTATCCTTCTCCTACCTGGGGCTATTGCCCTGCTTATAAAAATTGCTTTCTAAATTATTCCATGTATTTCTGCCAGTTGAATGTAAGCTCCTTCATGGCAGGTTAGGCTTTTTTTTTTTTTGCTTTGGCTCTCTATTCTCCAGCATTCAGCATAAAACCATAATATTAGCTGGAGCACAGTTGTTGAATGGAGAGGGGTTTCACTTGTCCTGCTTGGTTAGAACTAGCAACAAGGTATGAAAGTTCAAAAACAAAAACAAAAAAGAACTTCCTAACAATTAGAACTATCTAAAAGTGGAATGAATTCACCTCATGGTAAGGTCTTCAAGCAAAAGCTGCATGACCACTTGTCAAATATCCTAGAAAGGGCATTCTTGTTCAGGTAAGTTGAATATATGATCTTTAAGGTCGCTTCCCATTTTGAGATTTTGTAATTCTGACACATTATTCTGAGTATTTTTCTGGAGCAGAGAAACTAGGGCAACTGGAGGTTCTAGGGGCACAGATTCCAAACATTCTTGACAGCCCTCAAGGAAGTATGGATAATCATCTCCAAACATTCCCTAAAATATGCAAAGAAAGTTCACAGGCCCTGAAAATGTTTTCTCCCTCATATTTTTCACCCTAATCTTACAACTCCTTTTAGAATAGAAAAAGGAGTTTGCCAACAGAAAGAACTAGGATGGGGGGGGGGGGAATATATATATATATATATATATATATATATATATATATTATTATATATATATGTATATATATATATATATATGTGTGTGTATATATATATATATACGTACACACACAGAGAGATATACATATATATACATATAAATTTATGGATCTA